AGACAACGATAAAACAACCAACCAAATATATGTCCCATTTTCAATTAATAATATCAAACTCAAGAACCGAATTAAGAACTTCTGAGTGATTTAGTGATCAAGCAGGATTGTTAGGATTGTTTTATAATACATTATGAGAATTAATTTTTATCTGCTAAAATTTGATATTAGGGCTATTTTACCCTCGGTCTGGGCTCTGCTAGAGGATCCACCTAGTCTATGTAGTATGCTATATTGTCTGGAGATATATTGTACATGATGAATTGTTCTGTCTATTGAGTAAATTTTCTGTTTGTTCTCTCAAGTTTTTTGATATGGATCTCTTGTGTATTGTTCGTTTTTACGTTATTGTGGTGTTGATCATGTGACATCGTGGACTCTAATCGTTTTGTGTAGTATTGGAATGAATATATTTGGTTGGTTGTTTTATCGTTGTCTTTTTGGAAATGAAGCCTTGTAAAATATGAATTTTGCGTTTCAGGATCTGGTGGTATGAATGGAGCATTTGTGATAATAGTATGAATGCTGTGGGTTGTGTATATTGCTTGTGATGTCAGGTTGTATTAGCTAGGCGAAATATCCGTCGCATTGTGTCTTCTGCAGGTGGGGTCCGGATATTGTAGTGGTTCTCGTTTGTGAAGGGTTTGTAATGTGGGTAGTTTGCTTAGCATTAATTTGATCTTGAATGCTTTAATTGTGGGGTGGTGCTCCTGCTGTTTGGGACAATGTCAATGCTTAGGTATTTGATAGTGCTTATCCAATCTATGTTGTTGTAGTGCTGGTCCCAAGTGGTTGTTCTGTTTTGAGCTTGTTAGCTGCCATGTGACATGCATTGTTGACATATCGAGCGAGTTTTCAAAGTGTGTGTTGGATGTAGGTGTTGTGCTAAATAGGGTTGGGGCATGGAGAAAACTTTGGGCATGCTCCAGAAGGCATGTTTTGAGCTGAGGCATTCTTTTTTTTTATTGTGTTTAGGCAAGCTTATACTATGCTATTAGATTTACTACAAGAGCATTTCAAAAATTCTGTATTCAAATATAATATAAAATTTAAAAAAGTTTTTCAAAATTACAAATAATCTTGTAACCAATTAGCATATTTTTAATTTACAACCAAGTAAATAATATATTTTATATATTATATAATTAGTTTTTTTTATTTAAATAATTTGATCTTTTTATATTTAGCTTTATTTAAAGAATTATTATTCTCTGTACTATTGGTTAGAAATAACCACCTCTATTAAAAGTTAGTGTGTTTTTTAAGATAAATAGAGGTTTTTATATAAAATAATTTTTTAAATAATATAATATAGATTGGATATTAGATTTCAATTTTAGTTTTTATAAAGTTTTCTGAAATTTTACTTAACCTACCCAACCCCTGTTTTATAATGCAGTTTTTGAAATATAGCATACTGTTTATTCTTAACCACTGGCATGAGTTAAAAATATCTAGTTAAATATAAACTATATATATAGTAGTATATATACTATATATATTAAACTATTTTAATGTTTTTATTATTATTATAAAAGTATTGATATTTTATTATTAGATAAATCTTTTTATATATTTTTTTAATACTAAATATATTTAAAATTTACTTACTATATTAGACTACAGTATTTATTTTATTTTATTTTATTTTATTTTTTATCATATTGGCAGCCTTGCTAGTATCTTTATTAGATCAAAGCATATATATATTGTTACAAAGTAGATTTTTAGGTTAGATTTTACTTAGTTATTTTAGTTATAAATATTCGATACTTGTATTTTTATATATTTAGTTAAAATAGTATTTATTATTATATATTAGTTATTATATTTAGATAGTATATTTTATAGTAATTATATAGGAATATTCTAATTGGCTATTGGAAGTGTGGCGCAGTCACATGACCTCACATGACCTCAGGTGACACAAGGTTATACAAAAGGATACTTTAGATCAGTGTTGTACATGGACATATGTCCAAGCAAATTATTGGACATGGACAGTCCATGGACACAATGTTCAATGTCCATAGACATGGACATGTCCGTATTTTTATATGTTCATGGACATGGACATCCATATTTTTATATGTCCATGTCCATGGACGTCTATGTCCATGGACAGTCCATGTCCATGTCCATGTCCATTGACAACACTGCTTTAGATTATACAAAAGTGTTACACTAGAAAGTAACACAAGTTCACCTTCTTCCCCTGCACGAACACCTTCTTCCCCTGCACGAACACCTTCTTCCCCCGCACGAACATCTAATTCCCCTGCACAAGTCCTAAATGTTTTAAACACAAAGTACTGTGCAGCAAAGTCCTCTAATTCCCCCACATGAGATGTAAATAAATATAAACATGATGAGTAATGTTTATATGTTCCCTACTTTCCCTTACACAAGTTCATCTTCTTCACCTGCCAAGTGTTACTCACATACTGTGCATCGTGTATCCTCCTTGTAGGTAAAAAGATATATAAAGGGTGCCTTTTCCCCTTCCTGCCAAATTCTCAAGTTCCTACACTTTGCTTAGACTCTGATATCCTTTACCCCTTCTTATTTTGTAAAGTATGATATTCCCCCTCTAGAGTAATTCCTACAGGCAAGGCTTATCACCATTCTTGTATTAAATAAAGCTATCTTATATACTGTTACTATCTCGAACTGTTTGCCTGCTGCTGTGTAGTTAAGTGAACAACTACACCTTCACCCCGTATATATTTGCAATAATCAATCACTGTACCAGGTGACCTTGTTACTTGGTTGTATTTTACTAAGAAGGCTACAACCCTGTAACATTTTGGTGCCTCCTGGTGGAAACATAAAATTTTGTGAGGAGCAAAATTTATTCTCTTGGAAGCAAAACCTCTCTCTCTCTCTTGGAAGGAAACCTTCTTGCAGAAACTATTTTCAA